GGATTAAGAAAGGAGTACTAAACTCTCTCAACGTTACGTTTGGCCGTTTCGGTTTCATTTCTAAATGGCATGATCCCATTATGTTAAAAGTTCCTAAACACAAATAAACACACATTTGAAACTGCAATAGATATTAGATTGGACAATAGACTGAGACTTGTCTATAGTGAGATGTTAGAACGAATGGGCAAACTGTTATAACCAGGTCAATGAAAACTGGCTTGTAATAATTTTTACCATGAGAAAATTACTTCCTTCCCCTGAAAAGAAAATGGTCAAAAATGATTCGTTTTGCCACAGCTCGCCAAACACCCAGATTTCTGTTCCTTTTTCTGAACCTAAAGACAGGAGTAATTCAATGAAGGGCAGGAGTCGGGAGGGAGAGGGGCACAAAAGCACGGAAGGCGGAAGGATATGGTACGGGAGGCAGTGAACCCAATCACAAATTGTTAACGAGCACTCGTCTTTGAAAGGTAAAAATAGATTAAATGAAACTGACTAAGTTCCTAGATGTTGTGGTTCCACTTCGTGAAATTGCTCTGAAATGGACAGACATACCATAGGGATAAAAAAAATATGACAGAAGTTAAAATATAATTTTTACATGTCGGTTGATAACTGCCAGATTTGGTGCTGTTGAAAGGTCATCTAAACTTGTCTGTGATTTCAAAATTTCATTTCCATCCATTTGATAACACTAAATCCCCTTTGGTGGATACGCCTTTATCTTTTCGGAGAAACAATTACACTAAAAGTAACCACAATCGACTCTCCTCAGCATTGTTTATTGATCTATTGACGTGTTTGTCTCAATTATATTTTTGGAAGAGCCCTTGAAGCTGTTTAAAGCGATCGCCAATTAAGCTGTAAAGAACTTTTAGACAAGAATAAGATAATAACTCGAAATTAAGAAAAACCGCGTACAGAAAATGTTCACATTCATAATATCAAGGACATGTCATGGTATTTATTTAACCAACTAGCGACTAGATCTCTCAACTTAGGACTCCGAGGACCAAACAGCCTGAAAATAATCGATGTCATAACCTCACTACATGTTTTAATTGGATTATATTCCTTTAGGGAAGGTATATACTTTAAGTAGGTCGGGACGAAATGGTGGTTAATTTTGCTTTACATTTTTGGCAGTCACTCATTCCCCTAGTTTGGAGGAATTTTTTTCCGATAAGCCGTCATGAGATACAGAGAAAAGCCAGGGCAAAAACTATGACCCCTCAACTCTTCCCTAACTACCTCAGCACCCGCTTACTTTTACTTACTTTAAAGTTAGAAAAGAAAATTAGATTTTACGTCTTGACAGGTGAACTTGCAGCACATTCGCCCGTTCAACAACAACATTCATTCTTTACAAATTGATGTAGTGTTAGATATAGTAGGGTATCATCAAGAATTTACTTTACATGCCATTTTAGCTTATTTAAGTGTTGGGAAATTGTAAATGAAAATAAAATGGAAATAGTAAATGAAAATAGAATACTTCTTGGCCTTTTTCAAAACCATTAGCACTTCGGATGATCTCGGCTATTGAGCTGAAAGATAGTCGTGACGGGCTAGGCCATGATGAAAACTTCCAACATACTCCTATTGGAAGCACTCGTAAGTTTTTCTTTCTTCGAGTATGCCTGTGTCATTCCCTGAATACATCACCTTCCTCTTGCAATGGTCATGAATAATCATCTTTCAGACATAAATTTACCATCTTCGTTTACGTCATTATTGCGCAAAAGTAGCACTTGTACCTACTGCTGGTGTTGGAACGTCCGACATTCCCATGCTAGCAGTATACTGAAAGTTTGTTGCCATGGACCTGGATAAATGGCCAGTCCTGCCACGACTCTCCTATGGCTCAGTGCTAGAGCATCCGAAACACTAATCGAAGGGTCGAAGGTTGAAGTTGTATTGGGAGCACCCGGAGTTCTTTATTACCGCAGAGTTTCAGGCTATGTCCTTCACTGAATATATTACTTTTCACTAAAATCACCAGGCTTAACATCTTTTACCTTACCTGCCACACGTCTCCAAAGGCTCATCCGAAGTATTAATCTGAAGGTCGTAGGTTCGCTTGCAACTAGAAAGACTTGGAGTTCTTTTTTTTTCTTTAAGTACGCCTCTGTCATTTACTGAATACGTCATCTTTCACCTAAATCACCAGGTTTTACATTTCCTATCCCCAGTCAAAGCTCATTGCGCAAAAGCATCACATTCGACTCTCCTATGCCTGTGTCACACATCCTCTTTCACTTATCGCCGCGCACGCGAACTATCTTTTTTCTCTGAGTTGCTTGTCTTCTTGAAAGAAAACATCGTCTTTCACATAAATCAAAAGGCTTAACATTTACCATTTAGCTTGCAACGAGTCCTCTATAACTTGGTAGGGCATCCAAAGTAAGAATCGGAAGGTCGTCCCCTAATTTTGTCATTTGCTGGATACATCATCTTTAACTTAAGACACCAAGATTAACATCTAACATCCAGCATGCCAGGAGTCTTTTGTGGCTCAGCGGCATAGTATCGGAAGTACTACTGAAATAGAAGGTCGTATATTCGAGTCCTATTGGGAGCACTCAGAGATCCTCTCTTTTTCGACCATGTCTCTCATTCATTGCAAACATTACCAATCGAGTAAATCACCCGTCTTAACATTTACCATTTAACATGCCCGGAGTCCCTTACGGCTCCGCGGTGGGGGATGGAAGTACTAAGTGGAAGGTCGTACGTTCAAGTCCTATTGACGGCACTCAAAGTGTTTTTTTTTTGCTCCGCATATACCTGTATCATTCACTGAAAAACAACCTTTTTTACTTACGTCACAAGGTTTAACATTTACAGTCTAGACTTCCACGAATCTCTTATGACTCAGGGTCGAGTATCCGAAGTACTAGTCGAAAAGTCGTACTCCGTTTTTTTTTTTCTCCCAATTTTCCCTTGTTATTCACTGATTACTTTATCTTTCAGTTAAATGAGGAGGTTTAACATTTATCATGTAGCCTACCACGAGTCTCCTGTGACTCAGCAGTAGAACATCCGCAATACCACTTGGAAGATCGCATGGTTTGAGTCCTATCGAGAAAACTCGGAGTTGCAATTTGTTCTAAGTATACCTGTCTTATTAACTGAATACATCATCTATCCGACTTGCATCACAAGGCTAAAAATTTACCATCTAGCCTAACTGGAGTCTCCTCTGGCCTCGCGGAAGGTCTTTGGTGCAAGTCCTACTGGGAGTACTTGGATTTTCCTTTTTTCACTGCGTTATTCACTAATTACTTCATCTTTCAGTTAAATAAGCAGGCTCAAGATGTACCATGTAGCTTCCCGCGAGTCTCCTGTGGCTCAGCGGTAGAGCATCCGAAGTGTAAATCGGAAAGTCGCAGGTTCGGGTCTTCTTGGGGAAACTCGGGGCTCCCTTTTTTCTCAGAGTATACCTGTTTTATTCCCTGACTACTTCATCCATCACTTAGATCACAAGGCTTAACATTAACCCGCTAACCTGCCACGAGTCTCAAAAGACTCAGCGGTAGAACCTCGGATGTACTCATTTGAAGGTCGTAAGTTCGAGTCCTATCAAGAGTACTCCGTTATCCTTTTTTCTCTGACTATCTCTGTGTCATTCACTGAATACATGATCAGTTACTTATATCTCCAGGCTTAAAATTAGCCATCTTCATTTAAATAGTAATTGCGCCTCCCACGAAACTCTTATAGCTGAGTGGTAAAGGATCCGAAATTAAAGACACTCGGAGTTCCAATTTTTCTCCAAGTATGCCTGCCTCATTCATTGAATACATCATCTATCGCTTAAATTACAAGGTTCAATAATCACAAGCCTTGTCTTGTCTTGTCTATGTCTAGCTTGTCTCCTTTGCTCAGCGGTAGAGCATCCAAACTACTAATTGGAGGGTACAAGGTTCAAGTCCTATTGGGAGTACTCCGATTTCCAAACTTTTTCTGACTATCTCTGTGTCATTCACTGAATACATCATCATTCTCTTAACATTTGCCATTTTCATTCACATAACCTTTGCGCCTCTTGATGCCTAATGACATCATCTTTCACTTATCCCACCAGAAATACTCTGATTTCCTTTCTTTACTTCAGCTTCGCCTATGTCACTCACTGAGTACGTCAGATTTATTTTATATCACAAGGCTTAACATATACCATCTTGGCTGGCACGATTCTTCTACAGCACAGCGGTTGAGCATACGGAGCACTGATGAATAGGCACAAATCCATTGGGAGCATTCGAAGTTCCTTTTTTCACCGAGTAAGCCTTTGTCATTCATCGAATATATCTCCTTTCACAAGCTTAACACTTACCATCTCAATTAACATCGTTTGTATGCAAAAGCCCTAGATTCGATAGTCCCATCCTTGCAAGATGTTCTGACCTAACAGTCTCGTTTCCTGGTTAAAGATCAAATCCTCGAGGACAAGGCATTCTTTAGCAGTTTAATCATTATTTTATTCGAAAACAAGAATGTCTCGAACACTGTGCGAGCACATACCACAACCGCTAGAACCAAGAATTATCGGCATGCCTCATGCGCACGGGAGTAAAGCAACGCATGACAGAACACAATATGCTAGAACCATGGACCTGGTTAAACAGCCAAGCCTGTCTGCAGTCTCTTATGGCTCAGTGGTAAAGCATCTGAAATGTATGGTGTCATTTTCCTTTACACCGTCATGGCAGCAATAAGCCGGAAATTTGTAAAACCTAGTTGAACGGCCAAGCCTGCCACGAGTCTCCTATAGTTCAGTAGTTCTCAGTAGTAGAAGTACTAATACGAAGATTTTAGGTTTGAGTCCTTAAGAGAACTCGGAGTTTTTTCTTTTCTTCCAGTATGCCTATGCCTCATCTTCAATAAAATCACCAGGCTTAACCTTTATCATTTTCATTTACATGATCATTGGCCAAAAGCTTGACATACGACAGTTTGATTCATTTACACCTATAGGGTATATCCAGCCCTCGTTTATCCATCTATTCATTTATTCGTTTTGTCTTTTAAATATTTTTTTTGTCACGGATGAGAGAACTTAAGGATCATTGGGTCAACTCCTAAGTGATTTGAAGTTAGTAATCCCGAAGCATCTCTCACCTTCTTTATGTAGAATCCAGTCGCCTTTTAAACGTGAGAGGCGTGCACTCATTAGTAACAACTACCTTACCACTTGTCATAGTTACATAGAGAATTAGCTATAACATTACTGATGGCATTTTCCACCACTCCTCCACAGTCCCCCCTCTCCATCCTCTTTGCATAATGTGTCTGGTCGTGTGTGGCGCCTATGCGACTATTTGATATCTGGAACGCATCGATGATCTGAACGCCATTGTCCCTGATAACCTGGTCTGTCAGACTGTTTAGTTGCGCCACGCGCGTCGGGGATGGATTTTCTAGCCATTCTACCATCGCCTGATCTTCTCTCCAAGGTAGACTTACTGTGTTTAACCATATAAATCTCTTTTTCCCTTCACCTGTTCGGTTCATTACTCGAATTGCCTCAAGAAAGGCGTGAATTTTATCTCTTATGAATGTTTCCTTTGTGCTCTCTCGCAAAATCCAGTGCCCAAAGTTCATAAGAAACAGTTTACCGCTGAATACGGATGATGGTAGTCCTTTGGAGAACATAGACCGTCTTGTTCTTGGGTGGACGTAAACCTCGTGGGGCATTGAGATGTTTGGAAACGTAAGTGGCCATCGCGTTCCACGCGCATCAAATACCCACTCAATGCGTGGGATCTTGTCAAACACCATTTTTACGTGCGTTTTAATACAACCGTGACAGGAGCCATGCAGTCGTGTCACCCAGTGATACGTTCTATAGCGCATGTGCGAGTCTCCAGTGAAAACGACCTCGGACCAACCTTGCTTTGCAAAACATTTTTTGATCTCATCGCTGCTGTAGTGATGCAACTGGCAAAAATATGGCAGCCAATGAAAACCGTGGATTTGATCGAAGTCGTAAGCGGGGTCAAGCTGCCACTGACTGCATCTCTCGATTCCTGGGATACTTCCGCATTCCACCCACCTTCCTTGGAAAGTTCCACTTTCCTCCCGAGTGCAATAACGAGTGTGATCTCGCGGAGGCGGACCCCGGGTAACAGTCAGATCAAAGGGACTGTTCAGCACATGCTGTAAAACAGCTTTCGCGTGATATCGATACTCAAGACTGTCGTTATTTACATAAGTCAAAATGACCAAGATTATATACTCATCCGCGAAAGTTAACAGCAGAGTGGCGTTGTAAGTATCATTTGCAATGTGATGAACTTTTCCTGTAACCATTTCATGAGAACCAAAGGCTTGTATTCGAAAGTTGGAGGCACCATGCCCTGTGCCACAGATGGTGTTCCACGCATCAACATGGCATTTCTGCTTTGGCGTTGGACTTATAATGAATGATATAAGCTGCCACGCCTGGGTTCCCTGTGGAGGGTGTACTGTATACAGGCAGCCAAGGTCAAGAGCTGGTGGAGGAGGCTTCTTTGCAGGTTCGTTTCGCCTCCAAAGTTCTTTGAATAAAACAATCAGAGTAATGACGAGAAGAAGCAGTGAGAGAACACGGACTGGTCTGAAGCAGCCTTTGATGTACTCTCCTGCCGCACTCTTCCTCATTACAAGCCCCACTCAATTTGGGGACCTGGCACAATCTTTAAAAATAGAGAATAAAATTAAAAATAAAGAAGCAAGAAAGTGTACTCAGATTAATCAAACATCATAACTAAAGAAGTAATAAATTAATGGGTACCAGAAAACGATACAGGGCTTGCCTTTGATATAAATACTTAAGATCTCTCTGTCAATCTGTACATTAGTTCACAAGGAAACATAAATTCAACAATGCAGCTTCTAAGAAGGGGTCAAGGTAAGTAAGTTCAAACATTACAAAGACTAAACAAACACTATATCGTATTTGATCTCATAAGCCACATTCTTAACTTGTCGAAACTTGTAACTTGGAACTTCTTTTCACTTGTTATTTTCTCACTGACAAAAAGGTCTCGCGTGAAAGCGTCCTAATCTGGTTCCTTAGAACAATCCGTCGTAAGGGTAGGTCCTCGCGAGCGGGTGGACAAAGTTTTGTTGGAAAATTCCCCATCTGGTGGTTCGATATGAAGTAAATCATGGAAAGTAGTTCGATAGAATAATCTATAATACTAGGGTACATCTACAGGGCTGTTTATGACGAGCAGCATTATATTTACCTTGTCATAGAGCTAATTCATTGACTTCATCAAATTCACTATTCACTGACTTGCATTTGTTCTGAGGATATACTATGTATGGAGCATGTGATTCGACAGCGAAAATTCCGAATCTCATTGATCAATTTAAGGTTAAAAAAGTTCCCGAAAAACAGCTTCCTTGGAATCTTCAACACGTGCATTTCTTTTTAGACGAGTACTCTATTTACAATAACCTTCATAAACAAACCTAGTAGCTGACTTATGTAATAATACCCTTGTTCACGCCATTTGAACTTAGGATAATAAAATCTCATAACGTGAAGCATATAGCTTAATGAATGGCAAATAAGCTATAGTCAGTTTGTTGGGATAATAGTGGCTCAAATGTCGTCGCTAAGATCATGGCCATCGAAATTACTCTAAACGATTACAAGAAATAAACTTACCAGTCGTAAGATTGACAGTGATTTCCTTCTCTGAGATCCCGTCGTTACCTGAACAACAATGGATCGACATTTATGTTAAATGTTGGTAGAAACAAAAAGAAAAAAGAATGTAGGGTTGCGACGCAAATGATTAGAGAGTGCTTTTGATGTGATGTCCTATGTTTTACACGAGGTTTCTATTGTGCGCCCACAGTGCCGTTTCATTATTCATAATAGGTGGATAAGTTGAGTGCACAGCGGCGTATGGTGTATGACTGGTACCTGCTTCATGCCATAGTCCCAGTCCCAGCTGGGTGGGCTTCTCGTCAAATTGAAAAGTGTACTAAAGAAAACTGTTTTAGCAGCATCATATTGCAAGTTTGCTTAATCAATTAAAAAAAAAAGACAAATTGCCTTGTGTTCATACTCCACAGCCATACACTTCGTAAAATTTTGCCGCCCAAGCACTTTACAAATGCAAGAGATTATAAATTCCAAAGCTTAACCCTCAGACGAAAGCTAAACAATATCTTTGCAAAAATTTTTTTTTCTAACAAGGCAACGCAAGAGAATATCTTGGGAAACGCTATGTGAAATTTCAAATTACTATGATGGATATTTAGCGCGCCCTTTATTTAATAAGTGAATCATCATCTTCTTGGAGTTCAGATCAACGTTTAAGGGCCTGTTGGAGCATTCAAATGCTTTTCTTTATTCGTTTTGTATTTTACATATAACACGACAGAAATATTACGTGGCATCAAGGGAAAATATTCAATCAATATTATTTTAACGTTAACGAAGACAACATGGGTAAAACAGGCAACCAAGGAAAGATCAAAGAAAGAATGAAATATACTTGAGTCAAGATACAATTCGCTCCGCAAGACTACAGTTCAGGCTTCATTAGGGCTTTTTAGGCGAGAGTATTCGAGAAACAGTGAAACTACAGCCCCTCCCTTCCCCTCTCAATTCTCTTTGGCATACAAAACCAACAGTTACGGTAAGATTACTTTAGGCGAATACGGTTTTTCATAACCTCACACACAACGCGGATTCAAGAGTAATGATTCCACGGTTCTGTTTTGCCCTAAAGAAGATTATTGTGCATATGATTTACAATGGTAATAGTGTTTTGAAGAGGCATCAGCCTTGCAGAGTTAAAATTTATAAATCCTATGTATCCTCGTACGTGGACTTACGATTCGTGCCACTAGAGGAGCATGGAAGGCGGAGATAAGAAAGGCATCACCCTTAATTTAAGCGTGCGTAAAACTAAAGTTCAAGTTTAAGTGAAAACCCCTTCAATAAAAATTTCATGTATCGTCCATGCTGATTGCTCTGACGATCGAATTCGAAAAGCGCCTGCTTTAAACTGGTGCTCAAACCCTTTTTCATTTTTTTCATCCGCCGTTTCAGCTCGTAAATAATTGGCTGCCAATATCTGATGGAAATAAATTTTACTGGTGGATAAACAATGGACTGAGAGACTACGTGCATAAGGCTAACACATCTAAGACGCTCGGTTAAAGGAAAGATAAACGCTGCGCTTTGGTTGTTGACTTCTTAAATCCTACCAGTACACAATTAATGGTTACCCTCTGGAAGAAAAGAAGAAAAATACACATACTTTTGGAAAAGAAGAAATACAAAAAAGGGAGAAAAAGAAAGCAAAACAGAAACGCTATCCATTTTGCCAAGAACCAAAACAAATTCAAAAAGCATTACGACTTTTTCTGGTCTCAGTGGAAAGTAAATGGGAACGAAGACAACCCTGGCTCTGACGGTTACTTGAATGAAACATTTTAAGTTGACTACACTGGGTGTAAAAAGGAAACATCAATGATGACGGTTTAAGTAGTCCTTTCATTTAGGTAGTCAGCCAGTCGACTCACATCAACCCTATGCTTCTTCCTGTCTTTGATGACGGCTGCGATTATTCACATTAAGATCACTGAGGTGTTCTTTTATGTTGTTGAAATCATCATTAAATTTAAATTTCAACTGCATGAAGGAGAACTTCAGTTGATGAATATATTGAGGAAAAGCTGATGAGTTGAAAACATGCAATTTCCCTGTGAAGGATCTTGTTCGGTTTTCCAATCAAGGAAGAATCAATGAAGTAAAAACAGTTCCTTCGGTAAAATCCACTTGCTAAATAAAAAAGTTAGTAGTAATGATTTCCTACAAGTTACGTGTACCACCCACCTTTCGGACTAATCTTTTTTCTGCTAATAGGAAAGTATAACTGTTTGCAAAAGTTACCCACATTACGTTCAAATTGCGAGTTCTCCTCTAGAATTGTGAAAGTATTATCCAAGATTGACTGTATCACTGTAAGTAGTATGCTACCGCCGGTTGACATATAATTCCAAATCCAAACGGGGCCAAAATTGATCATTTCAAATATAATTTTACCGAAGTGTTTTGATGCATAGAAAAACTAGAGAAAAGTTCTTGGAGGAAAAGTGAAATTCAGGAGTATCAGTTTGTAAGTCACACGAATCAACAAGAGAAAAATTTAATTTAGCAAGCGGTAATGCAAGCAAACGATACTTCTCAAAACTCAAACATAATAATCAAAACTATGCTAAGGTGTGCCCTATTTTGTATTATTTCACGAAATGGCTGATGTGGAGAACCGCCAAATAAGTGAATTAAAAGGTGTGAGCTGAAGGTGAAACTATGAAAGTAGTCTTACAACCTTAACGGGTAATTTCTACTTGACGTCAAGCGGATGAGAGCCGATCCCAAACGTCAGATTGGGTGAGGTTTCTAGTGTTATTGTGATGACCTATAGATGCCACAAAAAACTATGTAAATTTTTTGAAAAATTATTAGACATTTTTGTTTCGATATCCATGGAAGAATTGGAATTGAATCTAAATTGTAAAGTGTAAATTTTCCCTCAAATGTGCGACTCAATTTCTCAAATTTGTCACCTTTCCGAAAAAAATGTCGCGATGTTTAGTGAAAAAAATCTGATTATATTAAACACAATATGGATTCAAGAGTGATGTGGTGCCCTGGAGGAGAGGATATCTTTTCCTTGCACTTTTCTGTCCACAAGGTTTTCCTTCCCATTTGCTGCTGACTCCGTGTAGGTACCCTGTCAATATTCGGTGTCTCCAGCCCTACGATTTTTTCCCGTGCCCGGGATGACAACCAAGCCAAAAGGCTCCTCATGTAACGGCGGATGAATCCATCCTCAGTTTTCAGTCGACAAAGTGACATTAAAGAACTACTAAATGACATTAAAGAGCTACTAAAAATGTGAATTAATTATCATCCTTTAATAAAACACGGGAAAGTTCTAAGTCTTGGAAAGCTAAAGGTGGAATGTGACGCTTGGTGCAAGTCTTCTCCACACATTTCACTAAATATTCTAAAATAACTTATATGTTTTCCGAACCAACTGTCTATTTCTTGACAACTGATTACAATTATGAGGTAAGTTAATGTATTCCAGATGGACGTTGCCACATTAATTTACAGGCAACTTTGCAAACAAAATCAGAAGCTACGATCTGATAAAATCTTGTTACAATCAGATGCAATAAAACGTCGTGAAAATTAGAAACAAAACAAAGTTAACATTTTGCTGATTAAATAATTAAAGGGTCACGGCAGCAGCCGTGCTTCATTTATTTCCTCTTTGCATTGACTACTTCGCCTTTGGATTTTCCAGGTTACAACTCCCTAACTGGGAATAAGGGAAAAGTAGATGAAAAAAATGTATATGTGATATGATAAAAGAAGAACTTGTTGCGTTAGACAAAACGTAATAAGTTCCTGTCTTCTCTTCAAAAGCCTTCGCAATGTTTACAACCTCGTCAGAGACACTGTAAAGAAGGTTTGCTGCTAACTCGGTCAAGCCATGGTAAAACAATGTTGGCTCTTCCAGTGGTTTCCAGTTCCAACCCTCCCACTGGTCGTAATTTAGTGATGTGTACAAGTAGGCATTTACTCTTATGAACTGAACACGCAAAAGGTGACGTATGTACGGGTCCACAAATGATCCCGGGACCGTAAATGATCCCGGATCGCAAATGATCCCGGACCGGAAATGATCCCTGATGGGGACCGCAAATCATCCCGACTAAAAAATAAGGAATGGCATGGATGTTGGAATGGTGAGGATAGGAAATTGGGATGAATAGCAATTATATTTATTAAAACCATCTTGAATTATGGCTTACAACTGGCTTCTTTTTGTTACCTTTTTCATACTACGATGCTGTGAATGGCACCTTCATAAACGGACTTAGTCTTTACTATATATCTTAAAATTATGACCGAGATTCTTTTCGACAACACAATAAACGCAACATATTCTTCCTTCACAAGCTACACATTGGTGTGCCGGCGTGGTATACCGTTCTATCTTTAAATCAAATTGTATCAGTCCATTGACGTCACCCGGCTGGCAACAGCAGCAACAATGTCAGTAAAAACATTAGTCTAAAACACGTAGTGTTTTAGACTAACAAGTTTTCGCCCAAAATGCGGCATTGCTTGTTTTTGTGGCACTTAATTCCAAACTAAAATTCATCCACAGATTAAGCAACTATTACAAAAGACGCTGTCATCTGAATAGTACTGCAACGCTCCAACGCTCTCAAAAACACCTTGTGAGTAGCACTGGAATTTTCGTTCACATTTTGGAAAAATGTCTTCTGTGATTTTTTCCATGGCCATACTTTTGCCTCATTCCGTTGCACTTAGTGCACGAGATCCATAAGGAATCACCCTCCGCTGACCATCCTGCTTCCGGTAAAGTGCAGCCCCGAGGCTCTTCTGCATTTTTTACTCAGAGGAAGCAAGGAGGTGGGGGGGGGGTGCTGTCAGCAAACGTCGATCTGCATAAAATGGGGACCAAGGTCACTATGACGTCACGTAGCCTCTTGGATATTGTCATGGTATCAAACAAGGACATAGTAAAGCCCTGAGGTGATTTAGACCTCACCATTAGCGACCACTACCTAGTGTACATCGTCCTTGATATGAAAGTGCCTAAGCCTCCACCATCTACATCACAACGCGGAGTTTCAAAAACTGTACTGCTGACCAGTTCTCCGTTGACATCACACGAGTACCATGGGAAACTGTGAAATTAATGGCCTCAGTGGATGACAGCGTGGATGCTTTTA